TGCTGCTGGTCTGTGCTGATTTTGTGACATAGTACAAGAGTAAGGAGAAGATGGTCAACTGAGAGGGAACCATACAGGAGTGGCAGTGCCCCGAGGCACAGAGCAGCAGCTGCAGTAGCAGGAATGATGGGGCTCATGCCCTATCCCTGTCATCTCCAGGGATATTTCGGACAGACACTCCCTGTCTCTTTGGGCAAGCAGAGGAAGTCGGGCATCTTCTCCAGTGGCAGCCACTGGCGGAACAGATCTGGGACAGAAACGCAGGCCCCGAGAGTAAAGAGTGCCTTAGGTGGTACCAGACTGAGTGGAGTGTGGGGACAAATAGGCGTGCATGAAGAGATGGCAGACTCCCAGGGAGGGGCTGACCCAGAGGACTGCTTTACTAAGCCTAAGATGCACCCAGTCCTCAGGAGATCATAGCTGAGACAAAGGCGGGCAGGCAGAGGCTGGAACTGACAGATCTGAGTGTGAGCACTAACTGCACCTGCCCCGAGACTGAACAGCACAGACCAGGGCTGAAATGCAGTTTCTGTGGCCTCAAACAGCATCTGATCCACAGGGGAATATAGCAGGGATAGAAACAAATTCTGCAAAGTTGTTGTTCTGTCAGAAACATCAATCAGGGGCAGAATTGGAACTGAATGAACTGTCCCAGCCTCCATTAAGCACTAGAGGTTGTTAGGGCCCACCTTGCGCTGCCAGAGGATAGTGCTGCAGAGAGCAGCAGCCTGGCTGAGGAGACATAGATCTCCCTCTGACTCAGGCAGGTGCAAACCCCTGGAGCATCTGCTCACTGGAGGGAACTGGGTCAGAGCCCTGTGGGTTATCAGTGACTAGGTATGACAGAGGTTCAAGGGAGGGAAGGAGGCATCAACCTTCCCAGACTAATTTATTTGCTGGGTGGGTCCTTGTGACCACACGGAACACCGGAGCGAGTCATACTTGAGCTGCCAGCAGACCCCTGCTATCTAGTTGCCAAAGACCTTTTGAACTCTCCCACCTGAGACTGGTGCTGACTGGGACAATTGATTTGGACCCCTTGAACTGGGCCAATCGCCTGAAGAATATCCAAAGTGGTACCCTGGGTGTGTGGTTGTGTGATAGTTTGATTTTCCTTTTCCAATTGTTGCCTGTGGGGGGTGGGGTGACATAATTGATGGTATTTTTCCACAGCTGAGACTTCAACCCAGAGTAACTGATTCATTAGGGTAGGACAGAGACCAGACTTTCAATGCAGGATCCTGTATCCAGCTAAACTGAGTTTCATTTATGATGGAGAAATTAAATACTTTAATGACATTCACATGTTGAACAAATTTGCCATAACTAAACCAGACCTCCAGGATATTCTCCATAATGACCAGCACAATCCTCCACCAAAGTAAATTCACTCAGAAACTTTTGATCAAATTCCATCTTCCACAGTGGTGAAAGGATTAAAAATGTCCATTGGACTTCTGAAAAACGTGATACCCCAAATTTTACCAGGCTTATCAATATTTACAATTAATGTGAATTGCTTAAATTGTCCTCTAAACAGGCACAGGCTGGCTGACTAGATACAAAAACTCAGGCCAGATATCTTCTACATACAAGAATCTTATCTTACCTTAAAAGATAAATATAGACTCAGGGTGAAGGGATGGTCATCTACATTCCAGGCAAATTGAAAGCAGAAAAAAGCAGGTGTTGCAATTTTATTTCCAGGTACAGTAGGCTTTAAACCAACAAAAGTAAGTAAGAATAAAGATAGGCATTTCATATTTGTTAAGGGTAATACTCAATATGACGAGATTTCAATTATTAATATTTATGCACCCAACCAGAATGTACCTCAATTTATAAAGACACTCTAACAGGCATGAGCAACTTAATCTCTTCCAGCTCCATAGTAGTCGGAAATTTTAATACTCCTTTGGCAGCATTGGATAGATCCTCCAATAAGAAA